CCTATACCTCCCTTTTTGCCAGTTTCACTTTGATGGAAATTTCATTTGCATTAAAATAAAATACCCTAAAAATAATTACATTTTTTTGTAACCACGCTTCAAAGTTTAACACAATTTTCCACATTTAATTGCAAAGCTGATTTTAATTAGTGAGGCCCTGCATGTGAAAAATGAAGATGCACTTGGGTGCGTGTAACACATTGCAGTGTCTGCTGAATGCTCTAATTAATGTATGGCTGCTGTACAACAGGGTGCACTGTGGGATGTTTATGAAAAATTCTGGGCACGCAGCTACCAAGCCAGTCTATCTGTATTTTATTTCATGAGTCCACCAGAATAAATAACAGCCCCCCCTTTCTTCTTTATGAGACATCATTGTGCATACTATCATTCCATCCATAAATTTTATGGTATGCCTGTCCTTTTTACTATTTGTCACTGATAGTATAAATCATAAGTTAGGGCATACATATTTTAACATTAATTTGATAGCATGGCACAGTTGTACATGGAGCAAAAAATTTGTTATCTAAAGATTTATTTGTGTGAAGTGGAGAACCAAAGCAAGTGGATTTCTCACACTCATTGTTGTGATGCTTTCATACTAATTGTATGTGTGAAAATATACCAAATTCAGGCAAAGTCTTTTTGGACTGTGTTGACAGTTCATCTTTATTGTCATAATAAATATCCTCTTTAAAAAAATGATTCCCCGGCCATTATCCTAAGAAAACAATTTGTATATTGTTTGTTCTTAACATGTATGCCCTCTGCATTGCCTATTTTGTAATATATTATAGAAGACATTGTGACTGACAGAGTGTATTTGAAACCATGAAATACATTTGAAGACATATTTTTGTTTTGTAAATTTCATGAGTTTAAAAATAATCCCATATTCAATGGTATGGGACATAAATATTTTTCCGTTCAAATATAAAGGCAACCAGTATAGTAATAAAAGATCTATAGTGTCTATCATCTATCAATTCTACGTAGATGATATCAAGTCAATATCACCTTTGATATCAAGACTAAATATATAAACAGGCCTCTGAAACATCAGTAGAGTATACATCAGATTAGTGTGCTATTGTCTCTACAGCTATTGTCTAGGGTTCATTCACTAAAATCCTTTACTTCCAGTCTACCACCATCTGCGTTGGGATTATTTTAAATATGTGGCAGCAACTTTTTAGCTCTTGATGTGGCAAGTGATAGAATCCTGATGTGGCAATGAAAAATTCAAAGGCAAGATATCAAAGGGAGTTGACCCAGCTGTGTAATTACAAACAACAACAAAATATGCCTGCAAATGGTGGGCTTGGTTACACCTCCACACCCCCGTTAGTCTTCATCTTCTGTGTATGCTGGAAATGCAAATTTCTACGCATATGCTGAAGTAAAGCCTTGAAAGTTAGTCAGATGCTAGGTAGATCTACTGGATACATTAATTTTGAGGTGTATGTTTCCTACTTATCCTTGGGTCATGCAAGTGGTTAAGCACTCAGCTAACCAAAAGCTTTGAGTCTAACCATAGACTCCTTGGAAGAAAAGGCTGGGAATCTACTTCCCCAAAAAATCAGCCTTTGAAAACCCTATAAAGTACCATTCTACTCAGACTCACAAGGGATCTCAATAAATCAGAATCGACTCAATGGTTTTTTTTCTTGGTTCTCCATATATTAGAGAAGTGAAGATGAAAGGACAGTGGATGGAATAAGGGCTAAAAGTATTAGACGTCTCTTATCACATCCATTTAAATTAGTTCAGATACCTATTCCAGAAAACATTCTTAAGTACCTGTCTTATGAAATCCTAATTAATGATTTTTTAAAGAAAATTTGCATTATGAGCAGCAATGTAATCTAGTTGCTTAGATGCATATTGGAGGATAATTATTTTATTATAATTATCATTGAGTGGCACTGTAGGGTAAACAGTGAACTGTTAACCACAAGGTCGGTAGTTCAAACCCACCAGCTGCTCCTCAGAAACCCTATACAGAGTCCCTGTGAGTCAGAACTGACTCAAGGGCACTTCACAACAATAACAACATGAGTTGGAGCTTGCTCAATGGTACTTAACAACAATGTAGTTTACATTTGTGTTTATGTTCAAATTTTGAGGAGATTGGGGGATAATCAAAATGACCCTGTGAATAGTGACTTGGATAAGTGATTGCTTCTCTCCTCTTCTCTGAGCGCTCTCACTAGCTGACTTCTGAATTGAAAAGAAATAATGTTTCAAATATTAGACTCCAAAGTACTATTGAAATCCAAAATTCAATATATTCCTCCTGCCAAAGTCAAAATTTAGGGGGAAGAAATGCTACCTTAGCTCTATTTTTGCTTCAATTTGATACAAATTTAATGTTGTCATCTGAAAAACTTCTGTGTAATTTAGGATGTTTCCAGCTACAATAAATTGGAAAACCAACTCATATTGACTGAAACAGTATCAAACTATGTTTCCTCACCTGAAAATTAAGAGGTAGAATCAAAGTTAATACTATGACTTTGGTTCCATTACCCTGTTGTTGTTAGGTGCCTTGAGTTGGTTCTGACTCATAGTGACCCGGTACAGGATTCCGAGGCTGTAAATCTGTATGGGAGCAGAACACCTCATCTTTCTACCGTGGAACAGCTGGTAGTTTTGTACTGTTGACCTTGTGGTTCACAGCCCGATTCGTAACCACTGTGCTACCAGAGCTCCTTTCAGCATAGTGTATTAATTAATAAATATTTGCACATTAATTGATTTAAATATTCAATCATGAGTGACCAATGTGACATTATGATTCCTTGGTATTATATCTGCTGAGAATCATGCCTTGGTAATAATTTATTGCAATGGCAGGTCTATGTTGTTCTCTTACGTAATGTGCTTTTAATAGAACCATATGCATCTAACTGAAGTCCTCTTGGCTTCATTCTTTCGGTACTTTTCATAGACTGTGGAGAAAGTGGCTTTGATGTCTATCTAGAGTGTGGTAAATCGTGCATAGATGACATTTTATGGTGTCCTTGTTTTCTGCCTTGGAATCCAGCTGGAGCTGTATTAGATAGGGCAAAAAGTCACAGACGGGGCTTGGAAAGTTGTCTTCCTGCAATCTGGTCAAAATGAGCTGTCATTTTCCCTGCTTATCTCTTACCAGCCCCTACCACACAGTTTTGTCATGTGTAAATTGTTCATACATTGTGGAAATATTTGAAAACTACATGTCCATGTTTATCCATGTGACAATGTGTCCCTGTTGTTTAAAGATGGCATTTTGAGACAGATGGCTTGGTTTCAGGTCCCTAACCTAAAAACGTTTTACGCGGATGATCAGGAGCAAGTCAAATAGTCTGAATTTCAGCTTTCTCATATGTCAGATAGAAATAATAAATATACCTTCCTTGAAAAATTGTGAGCATCAAACAAGATAATACATGAAAACTGTAATCTCTGATTGTAAGACAGGTGCCAGTTACTATAAGCAAAGGGTAAAGATCTCTTAAAAACAAACTAACAATTTGGATACACAGCAATGACAGTTACATTCTAGATGTCAAACATTGGAAGCAAATCCCAATGGTACAAATACAGTCCCTCTGTTACACTCTAAAACCCGAGAAAGCCAGACCTGTTTAAGGAGAAACCCTGTCATTGAGAGAAAATTCAAATATTTTCCATGAGTAAAGAGTAGTGGGAATGTAGTAAGATTGCACCTTGCCAAAGGAAGAAAACTTGCAAAATCCAGAAAAGCAAGGTAGTCCTGTGAGTTCTGCTCTCACGGTCTCACTGTATCTATGACCTTTCAGTTACAAGGAGAATCTGATCATTTTGTTTTTCATATAACTTAACAGCTATCCATTATATTCTGGGTGCAGAGTAAACTCAGAATCACCGCTGTTGTATTCTAATTAAGTCTTTTAAAAGAGAATAAATACATTGCACCTCAAGGTTCATCAAATTCTGTCCTGTTACGCAGTACAGAGGACTCCTGATTAAATATTCCCTACGAGACCAAGATTTCATTTATTATTTTTTTAAAGAATACATTTAGATTGCCTGACCCTTGTCTTTCCCACCCCCAGCCTTGTAGAGGGCTTCACTTTACAGAGGGAAACAGGATTAAAATACTGTCAATAAACTGCCAGGGAGAGTGCACAGCTCCATGCATTGATAGTCTGTGCATGCAGGATAAGAACATTGACTGCCTGCTAATCTATTCCCAGATGGAGGTGGATACTGAGGAGAAGCGCCATCGCACACGCTCCAAAGGTGTTCGAGGTACGTCCGCTGCTTCACTAAATCACTGGAGGCCCAGCTCAGGGTGACCTTCATCCAGCAGAATCTCTTTGCACGATTCATTCTGACCCCTGCTTTTACACAACCTTTTTGGTAATTTTCTGTAGAAGAGGAGTACTTGTAATAGATGATAAATTTTTATATATTTTCCATCTCTCTGCAGTTCCCGTGGAACCAGCCATACAAGAGCTGTTCAGGTTAGTGCTCTGCGGGTAAAATGTATCCCCATTAGCAATTTAGAAAATTCATGCCTTTTAATGGGTATAATGCACTTTCAAGTTCATTGGTGGTTTGCTCATGCCCTGCTGCACTGATGAAATTAATTCCCCTGCGACTTGCTAATAAAAAGCATCCCTTAATTTTTCCCTCCTTTCAGTATTTGATTTCTCTCTTCTGTCTTTGTCGCCCTTCTTCTCTCTAATGCCCACTGAAGCTTTCAGTATAATCTGTTTGCAGCACACCGACACCTGTATAATTAATTCTTTCCTGTTGCAGCTGTCCCACTCCGGGCTGTGATGGCAGTGGTCATGTTAGTGGCAAATATGCAAGACACAGAAGGTAATGCATCTTTTCACAATATAACTGAAAGGACTTGCTATCCGAATTGTCTAACGTGGCCTGAGTTAGAGATACAAACCAAGTGATGAAAATGAATGGTTAAGCCTTTTGGGGGAACAATGCATGTGGTGCTTTCTTTTCCTTTTCTCATGTGCGCAATCTTTTGTCTCTTGTACAGGTTTTCAAAACAAAAGACTTTCTCACTGTTTCATGGGCAGCATTAATGATAGCCATAAGATGACACAAATTAAAACTACCCTTAAACTCGTTTTCCCCTAGATACATATGCAGCAGTCAGCACACTGCCAACTCACTCTCCTCCACCCCCTACTGTTTTATTGAGAAGGATTATTTCTACTTGCCAATTTTCTCATTCTGGTAGCTGCAGAATGGTCAATCATGGATGGCAAATTAAAATGTGGCCTTATTGACCTTTTTGTACTAGCACAGTTTCTATAATTTAAGAGTTCAGCATGAGAAACAAAGCCCTCACTTGGCATTGAGGCAGCTGCAGGATGAGGTTGCTTCTGGAGGTGAAAGTCCAAGACACACCATGCTAATGAGACTTTGCAACTTAAATGATTATATTATCCTTGTAAATACTGTGATTTCAGTGATGAGTATAAAAAACATCCAGAAAATGATGTGGTTGGGTAATTATTACTAAAAATGCATTACAGAAAATTTATATCTTACGTACCTGTGACTGAAAGTCACTTTCAGATCAATCTCTCTCGGTTGTTTGGGGGATTTTTCTTTTATTTCTGAGTAAACATTTTCTTCTTTTAATGTGAATGCAATTTGCATTTCAATAGGAAGGTTTCAGTTATGGTGAATTAGAAAGGTTTGTAGGCTATAACAATTTTTTTTTTTTCTGGTTTTTCAACAAAGTAGGTTGCTAAGACTAAGATGATTCCCATGTAACAAACCACCAATAATCAGGCACATGTAATCAAAACTTGGATTCCAAAGCAGGTGTAACTGCAGCTTCCCAGGATGACCTTTATTCAATGCCTTACTATTTATTTCCTTTCATCTGAATATTAATTTATGTGAAATCAAGCAATTATTTTGATTGTCCCTTAGTAAAGTCCAGGGGAAATTTATAAATGACTCCTAAAATCCCCATGCTAGTATCTAAGGAGGAAGGAAATTTTTAATGAGCATTCATCATGAATTGGTTATCAGACTTTGTCTGTTACGCACCAATGGAGTGATAGGTCACTTAATTTGAAGGGGGTGGGCATGAGTAACTTAGGTTGTCAAATTTAATTTCTTATATTATCATTGTTATTATATAAAATGAAATAGTAAACTTTTGAATTTTGAACTCTGTAATAGTAATAATATGTAGCTTATTTTAAATATTTACATATTTAAGAAGTGTTCTGCATGTAAAACTGTAATTTAAAAGTTTAAAATTTATATTATTTATGTTTTCAATGAAAAACAACTTAGTAAACAATGAATAAAATCTAATTTTCCCTTAATAATCTTTTGATTTGTCAATAGTTAGAGTTATAATTTTACCAAAAGGAATTGTTAAATTTTTCTAAGTAGTGTAAATTAGGTATCAACTTGATATAGTTTCATAACCAACATTTTGCTGGAAATATTATGACATTTCCATTCCAAATAATTCTTTCAAATTTTCATGTCCTAACCATGTTGAACTCCGCTAAGATAAACAATATGTATTGATGTGTCTCTATGAGATATACACATACATATATATTTTGTTGTTGTTAAGTGCCGCCGAGTCTGTTGTGGCCCAAAGCGACCCTGTATAGGGTTTCCGAGTAGGGGCTGATGAGCTTGAACCACTGACCATGCCGACCATGTAGGTCAAACAACTTTGCAGTCCAGCGAATTAACCCACAATGCCACACCAGAAATATATATATATGAAATATATTTCCCTGCTTAAAAAATTATACTTACGATGATTGGGTGTGTGCAGAATATGACTGGTTATCACCTTCCTTCTGAGATATGATGCTAATGCCAAAAGTAGCCTGATTCTTAAAATCTAGGTTTGTTTTATTATTTTTTGAATAAGGCATTTAGATTGCCTGACCTATGTCTTCCCCATCTTAAAGGAAATAACTGGGTAGAATTTTAAGATGGATTCCAAAGACATTCAAATTGAAAATTTTTTCAATATATATATTTTTAAGTTTAAAATAATTGATCATTTTGCACCATGTGTCATATCATACATAATTGTTAGAATTGCTACTTTTTGTTTAATTAACAGCTACTCTGTGGTATACTAAAAAAGAACATCTCCTCAGATAAGAGTTCCAGGTTCTAATTTCCTGTTTAATCAGTGGAGGGTGCTGGGACAAGTTAGTTAGCATTTCTGGACATTAGGTTCCTCAGTATTAAAGTGGGATCATGCAGACAGTGGTATGTATAACTAATTATCATTATAAAACTATGTTACTAGTCAAACCTTCTGAGAGGCATTTCTTTGAAATACCAAGTAAAAACATTTTTTAATTTTTATAATTTGAAGTCCATTTATTACCAAGAAGCACTGATAGTGCACTGATTACTGCTGGGCTGCTTACTTACTGCAAGGTCAGCATTTTAAATCCACCAGCTGATCTGAGGGAAAAAGATGACACTTTCTGTCCCCATAAGGATTTCCAGCCTCAGAAACACAATACAGGATCCCTGTGAGTCGGATCTGACTCCATGGCACATAACCACAACCATCACCATATATACTACCAGTAGTTTGTAGCTAAAAAATTACATTTGGATTTCTTGCATTAAAATCATGCTCATTTTGATAGATACGGCTCATTTGTGCATTAGCGTTTTATGATTATTGACCTTTTAAATGTGTATGATTTCAATTTCATCATGCTGTATTTATTCTGGTTTTAAAAGTTTACTGACTACTTAAGTTTCCTCCTCCTATTCATAATACATAAATACAAGCACACACTCCACAAATACAGTTGTAACTTACTTTTGCTGTTAGATTCCTAAGAAGACCTGGTGGTGCAATGGCTTACGTGTTGGGCTGCTAAGGGCAATGTGTGTTGGGCTGCTGAGGGCAATGTCAGTGGTTGAAAACCTAGCAGTCTCTCAGAGAGACAAAGATGTAGATATCTGCTTCTGTAATGATTTACAGCGTCTGAAATACTATGAAGCAGTTCCACCTGGTCCTATAGGTTCACTGTGAGTTTGAATCGACTAGATGGCAGGTCTTTTTTTTAGCTAATTTCCAGTTGAGATACAGAGCATCAGTCCTCTTCAAAGTCAATCAAAAGAGTGGCAGTTTTGGGTTTGCTTTCCGTGAAATTTTCTGCCCTTTGTAATCTTCTAACAATAATTTGAATTTTGAGTGAATATATGCTACTGAAGGCTAGAATTTCACTTTACTCATAGATCACAACAGTTCATAACTAAGTAAAACTGTGTCATACTAGTATGTTAAAGTATCTCTTTGTACATACAAAAAATAATGTATGCACAAGTAATCAATAATGCAAATGATGAGAATTTTTACAAAACATTGAATTCCAAGTAAGAAGATGATCTCTACCATTTAGGCCCACTGCACTATAGAAAAAATTTCTAAGAAAATAAAAAAGTTAATATATTAGTATACCACTTTGTAGGGCATACAACTTTAGCATTAATCAGGCATCTTCAATAGTGTCTTGGGTTTCCATAGACATAATTTCTAGAACTGATTGTTTTGCTCTGTTTTTTTTTTTAACCCAGAAGGACAGAGACAGGGTTGTGGATTTGTAAGAAATTGGGAATAGCAGAGAAGAATCGATCCTTGATCAATACCTGTGAAAGGAAACACTTTGAAAAAGGATTTCACAATTTAAGATCTTGTTTAAGTGTTGGGAGGATAGAAGTTAAGGTTATGATGCTTATTTTATTGGGTTTTCTATCTTAATTCAAAGATTATGTTTGGGGAAAATTATAATCTATTCATAGATATTCTAGTTGTGTAAATAGTTCAGGATATCTAATAGTCCATAAATAATTTGAGGTAGTGGATAGTAAGTGAACAGTTAAAAATTAAAACAAAAATATAAACTAGGAATAACAAGGGAAATGGAAACATAATTGTTCAAGAAATCTAGGATATATCAGGGGTTTTAACATAGTATTAAATTTAGTCCTGAGTCTCTTGGCAGCCAAGGCAAAAAATGAAAAGGAAGAATTGTAGAGTTCTAATTATCTGATAAAAGGATTATATCAATTTCTCAGGAGGAACAAGCTCTCTTGACAATGAAAATAAGTAAGTTTGAATTCCCATACATTCCACAGTAGGGATCCAAGCTCAGTCAACATTTTTGTGTCCTGATACAGGTATGCAAGGCCAGGTCTTTTATGAACTAATACTTAGAAAACATCATTAAAATCCTGGCATGTGAATCAGTCATTTGTTTTCCACAAGTAAGGTTTTATATGATAAGCACCGGACTACAAACCACAAGGTTGGCGGTTCAAGCCACCAACCACTCGCAGGGAGAAAGATGAAGCTTTTGCTTCCGCAAAGATTTGAAGGCCTTGAAATCTGCATACAGGGTTACTATGAGTCCCGTTGTGGCGCAGCTGGTTAATGTGCTGAACTACAAAGTCAGTGTTTCAGATTTACAGGTAGCGTTTCCGAAACCCTGTCCAGGATTGCTATGAGTCAGAATCGACTTGACGGCACACAACAACAACATGAGTCTGAACCAACTCCACAGCACTTAACAACAACACAAGGTTTTATAGTATTAACATATAAATATGAATTTCTGGTGTGATGCTGTAGGATCAGCACTGGACTTCGAATCACAAGGTCTGCAGTTCAAACTCAACAGTCGCTCCTCCGAAACCCTATGCAGAGTCGCTGAGTCAGAACCTACTCAATGGCACTTAACACCAACAACAGTATGACAAATACATCATGAAATCGGGGCTAGACGTTTCTCTCATATTATGAAACAAATATGTTTACTTGGACTTCTGAATATATA